TTAAAAGAAAAGTTTTTGTCTAGAGCCATCATAAAGTTTTGGGAATTTAAACCGTGTGTACAAAATAAAAGTAGTATTGACTTTTTCCAATATCCTTTATAGTTTTTGTGAGTCAATGTCCAAACAACAGTGAAGAGATGACTTTGAAGCAGATTTTAAAACGAGATGTGAGAAGAAATATTTTTTTCTTGCCAACTTTACCAAAGCATCTTGTTCATCTTTTGTTTTTTGACAATGGTGTTCATCCTGTAGAGCTACTTAAGAGAAGGGGTTACAGAGTAAGAGGCACAGATTATGGGGATATGTGAGGAAGATAACAGTTGAACCCTAGACTTGAGCAGGTTAAGATTGTAGTGATCAGGCAAGCATTGTCCTGAGGGTTAGTCCCACGGAGCAGTGGTTTGTGGGAAGAAGCTGCTTGAGCAGAACTTATATCTCACCAATTGAATACGAAGTGAATGAGGGTGGTTCGATACAATGTGTGTGACATGACAAGTTTTAGCTGAGAAGGTTAGAACTGGTGGAACTGGTTTTCTGAACAATTTCCTTGAATGAGTGTGAATGTATATATCCTCCAAATTAAATAGATATATATAAGTGGACACTGAGGTCAACACCAAGCAGTGGCAGTCTCTTTCATGCTTGAATACAATCTTCAGGCCATCTTGAAAATTGCATTTAAACATGAAACTTTCACCACTGGGTGTGTTCACCTATATGTTTGCTTTTATACTGACATTCACTCTATTCCTGATATTAAGCACTTTTACCCATAAATATAACATTCCTTAAAACTATATTTTGATGATATACATTGTAACACTAGATACAATGGGTTACTTCCTGGACAAAAATGAATTTGGACATGCCTCGCATGTAAAAATGATGCCAGCATGAATATTCTTGGGGTTCAAACTCTTTTTCTGTAGGTGCTTAATAATAATACAATACCAAATTTTATCCATTTTCAAGAGAAGTCACTATGAGTTACTTTCAAATTTTTTATTAAAACAGCCAGATGTCAGTTTACCTTGAAAGAAACAATGCAGTTATTAATAAGAAGGGTTGCAATTAATGCATGCAAGATTTCACAGCTCTAGCATCATAGTCAGCCTATAAATGATTCAGCCCACCTTCATATACATTATATATATATATATATATAAAGACTATGCAACTGTTTTTTTTTTTTAAATGTTACAATGAGAGATCTTAGTTTCTAAATTCTAGTTATTTGCGACATTATCTTAAACTGATCCTCAAAGTGACTAAATATGTTCTTAAAATAAAGGAAAGTAGAAAGAGGTAAAACAAATGTCTGACTAAAATGGGTTATTTTAAGTTGTCTTTTAAAATAAAATCCAGAAGTAGATAAGGACTTTCAGTTTCCGATTATGATGTTTTAAAACAAAAGGTAGAGCACAACTTGACTACCAGTAATCAAAAACATTAAGAGCTGGGATCATTGAAGGGCATTCTATGTAGAAGTGCCACTTTATGGAACAAACTCCTGCATTAGTGCATCCCTGCACACTTTAATGTTGACCTCTTCAAGTCAAGGGTCAATCATTACATATGCTCTCTATCCTCATAATATTAACTTCTAACCACTTTCTGTTCCATTCATATCACTCAACTGATTCATCATTAACATTTTAACAGTAACACTACCTTGAGTGGCTCTTGAGTTAAGCAAAAAGATAGCTTTAAAAACAAATAAAGTTGATTAAAAAACAAAATGGACTTTTGACACAGAATAATATCTTTCAAGTAGCTAAAAATTTCTAATTTCTATTAATTTCTTTTCTCATGATAAGCTTCAGAATTTCCCAATTCTAAAAATATTTTCCTACTGTTGAAATTATTCTTTCATGTTGATCCTTATGATTTTTCTTTTCAAAATTACTAAGATTTTTGGAGCATGTCCACATAATAGCACATGGATAAGATTTATTCCCTACCCGACAAAGGTAGAATATAGAACATAGATATTTTTAATGTGGGTGCATATCCACCAATTACACAAGATCACATTTTATGCTGAGTGATCCAGAAATTGCCGTCTTCTCTCTGCTGTTCAATGTAAATATCAGAGTAAATATCTGATCCTATTCTTGTTAGTTCAATAGGTATGTACTTTCTGGGAAGCAGGTCACTGGTCTCCAGAGTCTCATTTAATTTTATGCTCCTAAGGGTAGAACTCTTATTTATGCATATATGCAAGTGTACAGAGGTGTATATTCATATGAATGTGCTGTGCTGTAAGTAAGGTCTCCTACTGTGTGGTATCATTAATAGTGGAGATAAAAAATTCATGTATTTGGTAATATATAAAGTCCTGTTCAAAAATGCTTGGCATCGATTTGAAAGAAGAGATCAATGATGGAATTGTTAGCTGAAGAATGTTGCATACAAATTGAAATTCACAAGTGGCTTAAAGCAATGAAAGCTTTGAACAAACAATTCCTGAAAAGAGAATTTGATTTCACACACCCACAAAATGCAAAGGTTGTATTACAGTCAATGAATGGCACAAATGAGAAGATTCCAATTTGGAAGCATCATATTTTTGATTCCTCTCTAAAATGACATCTTGAAGGGTCACTGTTTTCCATCTGATGTTGAGGTTAAAGTTGATGGGATCAAAAATAAATTAGAAAATTTCTTCATGGATAGAATGAAAAAGTTGATAGAATATTTGGAAAGATGTGTCATACTAAATGGTAACTATTTTGTATAATTTATAATTTTTAAAAAGAAATAAATTTACTATCAGTTTCATTATCCTATCTGGTGTAAAACTTGTTTTATAGGATTTCAAAGTGAAACAAATTTACTTCATTTCAATGCCAATTTTATTATTTTGTCTGAACTTTAAACTTGGTTTATTTATTGGGTTGGAAACCTTACTTCCCAATTAACTCTTCTAATTTTGAAGGGAGATAAAACAAGTTCATTTTGATATGAGTCTTGTTATTTATTCTATCTAGTCTAAAACTAAGATTAGAAACCTTACTTGTTAATCAATCCTTGTAATTTTGAAGAGAAATATATTGCCTTGATATTAGTTTCATTATTTCTTCTTCTTTTATGTGCCATGCCTCTTCAGCACATAGATGATTATCGTTCTCCACAACTTCCTATCCTTTGTAGCTCATAGCAATGTTTGTCTTTTTGATATCTCTCCTAATTCATGTTCTGCCAACCATTTATGCAAGCTGGTTAAGTAGGTTCTTTTTTTAATTCCTCTGTCCCTATTGCCTTCAACACATCCTGTGAGTGTTAAATTTTCCAAGCCCCTTTTTCTTATTTTGATGCCAGGTTCATTATTTTCTCTGATCTAAAAGATGGATTTAAATGATTCTAGACCTTAATTATCACTCACCCCTTGTAGATATTCAGTTATTAGAGAGTGTTGAGTGTTTAAACTTTTCTATCTCTAGCTGTGTAATTCTTCATATTTGTGTCATGTACCTCCAGAAAGTTAGCCATAATGCATCTTCAAAATTTCTCATATTTTGTATTTCTTAGCAGTTTTAGTCCCGCTGTTAGGTTACTTTGTTTCCCTCTTTCCTTCAATATGTCTTGATAGTGTTAGATTCTCCAAGCCAGCTTTATTCATTATGTATCCTAAAAAATTTTAAAGGTCTCATTCTGATACTAAGCAAAATTGCTTTTTCCATTCTTATTTATTTTATACCTTCTTCATTGGTGACATCTTTGGTCCATGATATTCTTAGTATTATTTTGTAGAACCACTACTGTTGCCTCAAATCTCCTCTTTATTTGTGAGAAAAACTGTCCTGCATTTCCTGCCTTATAGGAGGATTGATATTATACATTACTCATGATTAGAGTTTGCAATTATCAAAATTTGTAAACTTCCAGTACCACTAAAAATTGAGGTGAATTGAGTTTTTATATACCTATAAAAGAATACTTTACATTAAATAACTGTAAGTGAAATTGTGATTAGTTGTAATTGTGTGGTATTTACTTATCGAGTGTGAGGCTGCTCTGTTTAGATAAAAATTTGGATACCAGTAATCGCTTCAGTCCTAAAATCAATAGAAAATGACAGTCATGTGCCGTAAATCAGATAATAAATGGTAAATACGAGCAGTTCAGATCAAGCACTTTTATTCGATGTGTGATGTGGTACTGTTGCAATTGCATAAAATCAAATTGTTGGGAAAAATTAATTTTCTTCCTTGCTCTCACTTATATACAGCCCACAGTACTCATCTGGACAACTAATATGCCACAGTCTGCTTCAGATTCTATATGATGTTAAATAGATAGGTTGCACCCATGACTATTATCAAAATTTGGGTGACAAAAAGTGTGGCTTATTCTTGAGTATATATGGAATGTTACAGAAAATATGATTTGGGCCATAATATTTCCATTTTCTGTTGGACAGTTTTCTGGTATTTTCAATCAAAAATGACTTCTCAACAACACATCCATAAGAGATTGTACTGTTGAAGAAGATTAATGTATGGATTGGCTGAAACATGATAAAAAAGAAAAAGAAAATAACAAAAAGCATTAGCCTTCATTTTATTATATATTTGACACAGCATGCAAGATTCTATTTTCAATTTATATCCTTTTCCACCAGTTTATTTTGTTGAAAAGTTCATATTTTTCAGTTTTGTCTCTGAAACATAAACAAAGCAATTTCTAAAGAAATAATGGATTTATTTTTAATCCAATATTTTTTATTACTTCAAATTATACTTAGATGCCCCATTTTTATTTGTTAAACAGCGTGTACTAATTTCAGTGATTATATGAGAACTGATGTTTCAGTTTTACATGACCATAAGCCGATTACACCACCTCACAAATCCAGGTTACAACACCTGGCATTCCCAAGTGGTCACCCCTCTAAGTACTGAGCAGGCTTTACATTTCTTAACTATGGTGATCATATGAGAATCAAAATTTCAATGTGATATGTACATAAGTCCATTACACCACTCGCACATACAAGTTACAACACCTGGTATTCACAAGTGGTCACCCCTCTAAGTACTGACCAGGCTTTACATTGTTTAACTATGGTGATCATATGAGAATCAGAATTTCAATGTGATATGTACATAAGTCCATTACACCACTCACACATCCAAGTTAAAATACCTGGTATTCACAAGTTTAAAGTATTTACTTATCAGTAATTAGAAGGGTGACTACTATAAGGCTTTACATTGCTTAACTTTGATGATTGTATGAGAACCAGTCTTTCAACAAGATATGGCTGCAAGTGGAAGGTAATCAGATACTTCAATTTTGCATAGATAAGATTGGGGAGATGTTTGTGAGACACTTATGTAATCAAATATGGTTGATCAACAATAAAATAAAAAAATTAGGAATTATTATTTTCAAATATTTTCCTTTAATTAAAACACAATGTGAGAATATGACAAGGCTAATAATATGTCAAACAGATTCTTACTGACAAGGAATATAAAGTATTTATTCTTTTGTTGAACCATATTTCTCTTGCTTCAAAAGAGGTTTCGATCAACAGAAATCTGGTCCTGCAGAAGATTGTTGAGAACACCATAGACCAAAGAGGTGATCAAATAAAGTTTTAGAGAAAATGGAAACAAAAAGGACACCAAACATCAAAACGAGATAATTGAAATTTCAAATGTACATAATAAGAGGGCTTGGTAAATTCAATACCCATAAGACATACTGAAGGCAAAAGGAACAGAGAAAATCAATGCATTGAGTAAATGAATGGTGGCACAAGGTTTAGAAGTGATAACAAAAAGACAAAATTTATTAAGAATTACAAGGACAGAAAATGGTGGAGAGCCATGATCACCAACATCCTGAAGGGACATGCCACATTGAAAAAGATGCTAGAGTTGTTGGCTCTATTTTTGGTTTAATCTAACACTTTACTACAAGAGTTAGATTAATATCAAACACTTATCACACACTTCCTAACAACACTAATAAATATGTTATTTCATATATGGCAACAGAATAATGCAAACTTAATGTTTGGTTTGTTTTGTTTTTGTGATATATCAATTTCAATCAACATATTTTTGTAAAGAGGGGTTTTACCGTGAGTCAAATATATTTTTGGTAATATTTTTTTTTCAAGAATGTATTGTTGGTATTTTACTATAAAAATCTATTTTTATACTTTCATAGTGTTTTGACCCCAGTTTGGAGGTTAACTATTTAGCCATAGCTGGGACCCTAACAGGTGCTATCCATCCAGGTCAGGGTGGACCTGGAAACAGCAGCAATTAAGTAGTAGTTCCACCCTCTTCAAAATCTCCTGACCAAAGACCTTGCTGCCAGATGTAGTTTATCGTCATACTCAGGAAAATCAAATATGTTGTAAAAATGGCTGGCTCATTCTATTACTCTAGGAAGTTTCTGACGTCTTCTGCCACGTTTTATCTTTACAAGAGTTAAATTAGACAAAAAATATAGTATTGCTTCCATATTTGGACTGTAGCTGCTCAATCCTCACTTTCCAGCCTTGACTGAGTTAAAACCATTTGTGTGGTCTTGTGGGTGATGATTTATTTTCCACCCTGCAGTCTCTTTCCCAGATACACAACATTGCAAGTTAGTTGCTAATCTATCACTATTTCCATGGCAAATGGTCAAATGAGTTCTATTTTCCACCAATTCAGACTTTCACAGTTAGGACAAACCATGCCACTTCCATAGATTCATTTCAAATCATTCGTGTTCAAAATCTAAAAAGAAAGTTGCTTTTTCCTAAACACTTCAATCTTGATCTCTTCGAGGCAAAGACCAATTGTCATCTTTGCTTCTTTTCTTCATAATTTCTTACCACCTTCTCTCAAATCCATATCATGTAGTCCATTCTGTGTTATAATTGTTTTTGTTACTGTAAAACTTTGAGTGGCTCTCGAGCCTTGTAACGTGTGCACATTAGTATAAAAACAAAACTGAGAGGAAAGTGAATGTGGTTCTTTCTTAAAAAAAAAAAAATCACACCCAGTCTTACAGATGCAAAAATTCTAAATGGCATATCTACATATTTAGAAATCTGATATGGTCATATTTTTGACACTAGCTCTTAGATCTTGCAAATAGTTGAACAGCTGGAATCATTCAAGCAGAAACTTATGGACATTTACTGTGTACATATATACACAGTTCCACTGACCTGTGTTAACCTCATAAGGAAATAATAATGATTACATAAAAAATCTAAAATAAATATTGTCTGTGACTTTTAATCAAATTTGCATTCATGAAAATTTGCTGATGAAATATACATCATTTCCACATAAAAGTAAGATACAATTTATATTTAACACAAATGAGATATGTAAAAAAAATTAGAAAAAAAATACTATGTGTGTGCCTGTGAGTTTTTTTTTTTTTTGTTTTTTTTAAAATCAAAGGAAATATAATAAAATAAAAAGAAAGAAAAAACTGTTTGGCTAGGTTGGTTCAATTAATGATGTCTCAACTTTTGGGTTATTTAATGTAAGTCATATCTGAAAAAAATCACAATGAATAAATAGGAAGTTTGACATAGATCCAGTTTACACTAGTATCAGAAATGCCTGTAATCATTGCAAGAGAGTTTTAGAATTTACACTATTTACATTCAGACAATTGTCTGCATCATTGTTGTTGTTATCACAATGTTTCAACCATTGTGCTCTCTGGCCTTCAACAGGGGTATATCAATCTGGGTAACAGTGAACTGAACCCTTTATTTAATCTATGAGGGTAGACACATCTCGATCCATGGCCCATATCTAGGGATATCTTATCTAGTTCTTATTTTTAGTACTGCTCAGTTATTGCTCTCCTTGTTTCAACTGAGTTCAACTACATACTGACTGACCAACAAATTTGAAAACAAATGATAGTAAGTCTTCAGTAGCATGACAAACAGCAACATTAATCAGCATGTGATTCTACAGAAGGATGCTGTGAATGCTAGAATACCAAAGACCGAAAATGTGAACAATGACAAAGTTTTAGACAAAATGGAAGCAAAAAAGACTCTTATACTTAACATCAGGAAGAGATGATTGAAATTTTTAGGGCACATAATGAGGAAAGAGGATTTGGAAAATTTGAAATTGACAGGACATAGTGAAGGCAAGAGTGATAAAAGAAAACAATGCAAATGGATGGTGGAACAAGGTTTAGGAGAGATAACAAAAAGAGAAAATTTATTAAGAGCTACACAGGACAAGAAATTGTGGAGAGTCTTGATCGGCATATCCTGAAGAGACTTGGTACGTAAAAGAAGAAATTGTTTGATACTGGGTAGGAACTTGTAAAAGTAATTTTGGCTATCATTGGTCATTTTCAAGGAAGAAGATAGAAATTGAGATATAGCCAGTTTAAAATGAATGTGGCTTCACATGCTATGGTCATGAAATAAATTTTAGCATCACTTGATTGAAATGACCTTAGCTTTTGTCCTGATTCAAACATAGTGTGTCAATTGATAGAAATACACATTGAAAGTTCCATTAAAACTATAAATTATATGATTTTTGCATGAGTTTCAAAATCCATGTGTTTTTCACTGCAAGACATTCAAATTTCCTGTACAAATTTATGGTCCAGTGTTGATGCAAGAAAAACAAGATTTTTAACCAAAATTTCTGACATTCTAAAAAAGATTTCAAAAAATAATTTTTATCATGTGTCTTATTTTTTAGCAGATTTTTGGAGGTATAAGTGAACATGAAGAGGCAACAGTCTGTTTTATGCCTGAACATAAGCTTCAGGACATCTTTACATATATGCCCTATCCCTGATATTGAGCACTTTTCCTCATAAATATAGAAAACCATAAAATTAATACAATTGTACTCTGTACCAACTGCAAAAAATGATTGAAAATATAAGAGGCTCTTAACATCAAACAATAGCAACTGCTATCAATAAAATGTTTTAATCTCAGAGCACAAAGGTTCCAATGCTTTTGAACTGTAAGATAGTGCCAGTATAATATATTCCAAGCATGTCAATCTACATTCAGTATAAATGTTCCACTGGTTATCTTTTGGCTTTTACCTTCTTTCCTTAAAAATGATCGATGATGATCAAAAGTACTCAGAACATTACATACAATATTTCGGGAAAGTGCCTTTACAAGTTTTCACCTGAAATCAAATGACTTATTCAAAATCAAGGGAAACTCACCAAAATGCTGAACAGAAAGATCAATATAAAAAGACTTGAAAATGAAATCATATGTAAAACCTGTGAGGCACCTTTTTACTCCAGAATAGAAAGTTAGAAGGTTAAAGATGGTGAAGATCATCAAGGAATTCCAGTAAGATATATATTTAATCATTTCTAAGATATAACAGTTCAGAGCTTAATCTAACAATAGGACAATTTTGCTGTTACAGCCAGTGTGTGTGTGTGTGTGTGCATATATATATATATATATATAATGCAAATGCAATGATATTCGTTTTAAAGACTGGTAACATGTAACTGCATGGATAGGTGGTTGACATTGAAACCAGTTCACTCACTAGTTTTTCTGTTGTTAAGGAGGGTTGCTATCATCCTACAAGATGAAAAACAAGACCTGTCAAAGGGCAGAAGAAGCCATTAGCTTACATGTGTGTGTGTGTGTGTGTGTGTGTATTTGATTGAATAAATTACAAACATTATGTCTGCTTATTTTTATGATAATACTTTCATATTCACAAATATTTTTCCATATATTACAACTGAATAAGAATTACAACTGAGCATCAGGAAGAGCAGTCAGCCTTGTAAAACCTTGCTTCAAATAATTATCACAGGCAGCTCCCATCTAGCTTATTTTTACTGGAGAAAGGCAATGAAAATACAAGAAAGGTATTGTCTAAGATCAGGAATTAATGCATGCATTAATAACTAAATAACATTATATAATTAATTCTTTAAGAAAGAAAAAAAAAACAAAGAAAAAACATCTACTTTAAAACTTTCAAAATATATCATGAATTTGTTTTTGTTCAAGAACCAATTATAAAAGCAAATATCTGCCTTGAAGTAGAGAAAAATACATCCTTAATTTTTGAAATTATCTGAATAGTGTCTTGAGAAT